AGCGGATTGTTGTTCATCGTCACTGCTTGTTTGGCCGTATGGAAATACGGTGGTAATACAACTGCCAATGTTCTGGAAGCTGTGCCATCTGGATCGGTTGCTAATATCGCTATTCTATTAGCTGCTCTTCAATTATGTTTCTCCAGCGTAATCGGCTATTCGGCGCTTTTTCAACATCTGGAAGATCACTGGAGCATACAAAGAAGTAAAGGATCATTTATTTATAACGAATTAATTGATTTAATTATCGCCACAATAAATTTACCTTATTATTATATTCAAGCTTTTGGATGGAAACGATGCGCTATGAGATCAGCGATAGTTTTTCTTAGCGTGGTCGTAGGCGAATCGGTACCGCGATTCGACATCTTCATGGCTCTAATTGGTGGGTCGTTAACCGGATCATTGGTTTTTGTTTTACCGCCTCTAATATATAACCGAGTATTAGCTTTGAAGAAACAGTCGAATCATGCAGCGATCGCTGAGGAACGGATCTATCCAGGCTCTCGCAAAAGATTCAACGGCGAAGAACAGCGCTTGATGGACTCTGAAGCTCATTCCCGTTCAATTTACTATGGTTTCTTGAGTGCCACGAATAATTCTCGCAGGTAATAAATAATGAGTGTTTAAAGAGAGATATATTAAATATATTTCTTTTTTTATATATAATGCAAATTAAAGTAAATATAAACAGTCTATATCGAGCTAAATGAATTTAATGTTGTTCTTAAATTTTATAATATAAATGAGAACATAAAACTAACTAAAGTGTTTCGGAACTCACAGTCCTTCTTGAGCGATTCTTATAGATGTTTGTGTCGTTGGATTGATGATATTTTCTTATGATGTGTGATGATGCGATATAGACATGCTGATATAATAATTATAGTTCGGATTGATTTTCCTGTTCTCAATGCGAGTGTATTGTAAAGGCATGTGTGAAAGACAGGATTATTATTACAAATTCGTCCGATCGAGTTAAACGTAGATGTTACAATAATTATTAATTTCTTTTTTTTGTTAACTCTGTATATGTACCATAATAAATTAAAAAACTTACTTTTTCAAACACCTTAAATCCATTAAATCTGCAATTAATGCTCCAATATTGAATTTTTGACAGCTACACGTATCTCTATTTTGACAATTTGGATGAGGAGACAAATTCACATTCGTATGAATTCGATGATCATTACGAAGGCGAACACGAAGAAACCACTCAAATTCTAATGACTCATCAAGAGGATCAGCCGCTCCTCATCGATGCCACGGAACCAAACAGAAGTCGAATCAGGAAGTTTACAAATGTTTTGCAACAACAGACTGCAGGAATGGTTGTGAAGAGGAAAAAAGTATGGAATCTGGAAAGGGCAATTAATTACTTTGGCTATTTTATAGTAACGATAGGTATAGCTATCACGCTGTCTTCGACATATGTCAATATTTGGAATACCATACGTTATGTGCGTTTTACGCCACCGTGCATTATTAACGCTACGATGGGTTAAACTTTCATAGTTTGGTTTCACCCACCGTATAACATTTACATTTCATCAGTAATTTATCGAGTATAAAGAGTGATAATTTCGGATGTAGGTATGCCATGATTGAGAATATTCTATGAATATAAGAATGTCAAGATATACTATATATATACACGCTGCAATTTATTCCTATATACATACATACATATATCAATCTAGAAATTATGATTCTTTTTTGGAACATCTGTCAGTGAATGAATATATAATTCCGCGAACGTGAATAATAATAATCTCACGGTATATTTCTTTTTAGTATCTATATTATGATATATAGAGATGTTTATAGTAATCATAGTTGTGTGTGAGATTCTTATATTTAAGATTGTCTTAAGTACAGTCTTAAAATATATTTCATAAATCACAAAACTTATTAATATCTTAAAATATTACTTAAGATGTCTTGAAATAAGAATATTAAGTATAGATACTTATATTTTTCAATTCTATCTTTACTTATTTCTTTTTAAAAAAGAGTTGCAAACAGCCTATTTGAGCAAAAATACTACATCGCTAGATTTTTTTCTGTTCAATCTTTAGAAAATCTATGTCCATAAAATATGTTTAGAAAAAATATGTCCATAAAATGCACGCACAATCCATACATTGACAATTGACATAGAAGATACTGGCTCAATAAAACATGGCAGATATGAGCTAGAACATAATTAGCAGTCTGGTCGTTTGAAACAATAATTGGAAGTAATTCTTTCCATTTTTACATCCTTCATTAACAAATAAAGTTAAAAATTAAAAAAACGTACAAATATACATTAGCATTAGGTCATGAAATGTGGATTTTTGAAAGTTTCATTTTAATTTCAGCTATTACTTTTATTTAAAATGCCAATCATAATTAATAACGTTTAATAAGTTGATAACAGTTAATGATAAGTTACCTTAGACTATTTTTTTAATTCTTAAAAAAGTTAAGATATTAATATTAATCATATTAAAAACGCAAGATTCAGCAAATAAAATAAATAAAGTTTAGAATTAAAATAAATGAAAGGAATTCTTTACTCATATATGTGCATGCATTGATTTATGTGATGTTTTGATTTCAATACATTTTTTTTTCCGTTGTTGAGTATTTTGAACAAGCACTGTGACTATATTGAAATTGATATTTTACACGATATTTTAATCGACGTACAAACTTCTCCATATAACGTCGTCTTGCAATTTCTAATTCCTCATCCAATAATTGTTTGAATTTTAAGATTAACGAGCGTTTTTTATTTTGTAATTCGCAAATTGTTCCTTGCAAGTGGTAGATTTCTTTCTCTAGTGCTCGCGCGCGCATTTCTGTGAATTGATGTTTTTTTTATATCGCATTTTTAAGTAAAACATATAGAAAGATAAAACACAAGCTACAAAATCAACATAAAATATTCTTGAATCATATGAACGTACCTTGCTGTTTCTTTTGTTTGTGACCTATATCATAATTGTTAAAGATAATCTCTAGTAACTTTACCAAATTTGTCTTATCATCAAAGAATTTATAACGATTTATTTACTTTCATAGTCAATATATATCTTTTGTTCTTCATTCCAATATTATGCTTCACTTTTCGTGGAAACTTATTAAAAATTAGCGAACTATATTAAAAATTGTTGGTCTCGATAATGTTTAAAACTGACGAGTATAAATAATATGTAACGTATATAATGTCGTATAATTACGATCACCATATATCCTTTATTTTAGGTAGCTGTCCTTTAGATTAATTTTTTTAAAACTTAAAATTTTATCCTTTATCTTCCAATATTACCTTTATTGTTTTTTATTTTGACATTTTGGAAAATTTTTTTCTAACTAGTATTTTCAATGTCTAATGTTATTAACAAAGTTTTACGGAAAAACAGTTTCTTGCGTATAAATACAATTAATTTTTGTTATTATATTACTTAATTTTTTATATGAAATTTATTCAAAAAGTTGTTTTCATTTTTTATTATTTCGAACCTTTTATTATTTCAGATCAAGTAAGGTATTTGTTCCAATACAGTTGAACTATCAGTTTCGAACTATCAGAAAAGACTGCGTATTGTCTCAATTTGATTATATTGTGCAATACAATTTTATAATGCACAGATTCTTGATAGTCACAAACTGGTTTAAAAACATATAGGAACAAAGTCCTAAAATTTTCAGATTTGTCCTTTATTTTCTTTAAAAAAATATGAACACCGTACGTATAAACGATATAAATCGATTAAACGACATTATATACGTACAATAATAAGTAATAGGCATGAACAATAAAAACAAATAATAAATAAAAAACATCTACATGTACAATGTACAGAACAATCAGCTTTCTTGGCAATTTAATTACCAAACACTTAAAAGTTGCTAGAACAGGCTGACGCAAAAGAAAACACATGTTAAGTACACTTTGTGACACGTGTACTTCGACCACTAAGATTTCGGGCGTTTTGATTAGTTTTGATGATTGGTTTGTTATTTATGGCTGAACTAGTTCACTTGTTGCACTTAAAGTGCGTTCGAGAAAATTTCTACCTTTGTCATTCCTTAAACATAAAAAAAAAGGATAGAATTACACAAATAGTGCGTGCCCGAATCCATCTTTTGAATGAGATATAAACATTTGAAGTTTCTGAGATAGAAAGTTTTGGTGTAGTCCAGTGCAGCGACAAAGAATAGGTCTTTTGAAATATTTTAACACTTATTAGATACATCACGTATTTCATGTTCTTTTTAATTATTTCTTATTCTAATTAATATTTATGATTTTATTATTAGTGTTGCGGAAACATCATAAAAATTGATAAATAATATTTCAATAACACTTTCGTAAAATTGAAAATATTACAATGCAACGCACACGCACACATTTAACCATCTTTCTATACTTAAATTTAATATCTAAAATAAATATACATATATGTATATAGTATATATAATATATAAATGTTATCAAAATTGTAGGAATATTTCATATTTTTGCTTAAAATATATAAAATTTATTATTTCAAATAGCTTATGCCTTATATCCGATGATTCTAATACTTCAAAAATTGTAATATTTTTCGGCAAATATCAGGTTACACGTGTTACGATAAAGTATACTGTTGGTTTTTTAAGTACAACATTCGATGAATTATTTGTAATACGTAATAAAATTACCGCATTGAACCGATTTATTTATTATATTTTTAGAATTGAACAAAATAATTGTTTTTTAAAAAAGAAAATGAGAATACACAATTAAAAAACTGCTAGAAATCCGAACTGTGCAACTTTCGAATTTTTCTATAATACGTATTTATTTTTGTCTACTTTTGCTTAATGCTGTATATATGAATATTCACTTACATATCGTGAGAATAACGATAAATTTCGGATGAAATTCCAGGAGAGATAAAGATCGGACGGTGGATGGGAAGGGTAGATATAGATCTGTAAGAATATATTTACAATAAGGCGCTTTATTTCTATAAACTTCTCGCTTATTTAGCATCGTATAGAAATAATCGGTACTTGTTATGTGTCTAATTTGTGCGAGTTGTGGCATGGTGCGCAGGTATGCATATAACAAATTTCAGTCGTGACTTATCGCTCTTCGTCCTTCTCTTGTTAACACTTATTAATCCTCGTTGCTCTGGCACATCGAAAAGAAAAAAGAAAAAAAAGGAATCTTCTCAAGAGAATTATCCCTTCACACGCCGTCACCATCGCCATCTCCATCGATGCTGACACCATCATCGCCAGTCACCAGCGGTTTGCTGCTCTTGTATCGCTTGGCATTGTGATAAAGGTAGGAGTGTACACGCAGACTGTTACGGTTCTTATATTTATTGCCACAAACCTTACACGTGAGAGCTTCAAGCGGGCCGTGAATATAACGGACGTGTAGCTTGAGGTTCTCCTTGCGTGTGAACTGCCGCATGCACCACGGACACGCATACGTGCGTATTACCTTGCCATGTTCCATATGCAGCGTTGGAGTCAACTCTGAAATGACACGCATCGTTGTCTCTAATGGCAAGTTGCTGCCGGAAATACCTCTGATTGTACGTCGTCCCTTAGAATTCGTGTTAGAATTCGCCATTTCACATGTCGAGTTACTTGAATAAATCGTTGTGTCGTTTAAACCTATCAAAGAAGACGTAAGAGAGTATTATTAGAGATATCGTATTATTATTCTTGAAAATGTTAGATATGCATTTGATTTTATGAAGCTATCAAGAGATTACATAAAGAAAATGAAAAACATGTTAAATAAGATATACATAAACGTAAGAGGAAAGAGAGGTATTGGATTGGTGCAAAAATCTTGTATATACAGTTAAATAAAATTAAAAAAATAGAAGTAAAAGTCTGTTCCTTTTAAATGAACTCTTCTTACACAGTTTTCCTCTTTTTCTTTTCAATGTGAATAAAAAAGAGAAAATATAATTTGTATAAAAAGTTTAGTTAAAAAGGATAAACTTAAGATTACAGAGATTTCAGAGTTCCCTTTTCATTTCATCTAGAGATTTTTTATTTCCTCTTTCAAAAAAGAATTTCAATTCCAGTTTACTTAATATAGATTTTAATAGCGAAGAGACAAATCTTTTGCATCAATCGAATATACTTATAAGCAGTGTATACAGCAGAGATGCAATTTCTGAGATATCGGAAAAAAACTATGCAATAAAAAAACGAGATTAACCTGAAAATTTACATTTAAAGATTGATAAGAAATATAAAAAAGGTAAATGATGTAATTTGTATTTTTCCAACAAAATACATTCATTATACAATCAATTCGTATCAATAGCATATAAAAATGAATTACAAATTAGTTTTCATGCAGAACTGCATGAAAATGCAGTTCTGCAATTTAGAAAAAAAAAAAACATATAAGAACATTGTTAGCGAACCAATTAACAAGTATTGAGATATAAAATCAACCGTGTTATTTTTTTACATTCAATTTTCACATTTTGACAAAAAAATCTTGCGAATTGGTTCCTTTTTTAAACATGCTGCTGAACGAGAATGTGAACAAGCAAAATGCGACAGAAGTGTGACAGAAGTAAAACGTACCGAATGGCTGAGTTTGTGAATTCTGATTGTAGGGAACTAACTGCGTATCTGGCGCGAAATCTGTAAGATAACATCGCTTTCTCTAGACACATTCATGGCCAATGAGATGAGGTGCCTGGTGAATTTATGCAGAGATAGAGAGAAAGAGAAAAAGAGAGAGAATTATAATTCGAGGAACATCGCTTGCTCGGATTTGAAACACCCATTCGCGTGAACATGCAAACGTGATATTGCGTTGATCACAGAGACTAAATTAACTTTAACCCCCGGCGTTACGATTTAACGAACAAATTGATTTGCAATGTGAAACACGGCCATATTCCTTGCTGAATTGTAATGTGTTAGGAATTTATACAGAAAAATGTCGTTTATTGGAGAGATGATAATGAGGTCTAAGATGTTCACGTTAGAAATACCGGGGGTTAATTAAACAGTACGTAAAAGTGCTTAAGAGCTTGCGTCGCAGTCAAACAAGTGATAATGAATCTCAATAACAAAGTACACATCTATCCGTGGCAACACTTGAGTGTGTCAAACCTTTGGGGCGTCGATACTGCTGGAACAGCAAACTTTTCTCTTTGCCAAAGGGCGTTTCAGCTCTGGATGACATTCCGACGTCATTCAATCTATTGTTAGCGTTGTCTCTAAAGTACACGAGATGCCGACAGGACGGCGAGAGAATCACTACCTTGTTTCGGAGCGTTCTCGTTGCCAGCATGGAGTGTATTTTCTGCTGCATATCTGTATCCCGAATCCGTGTCCGTGTCCATTGTATAATCGAGCGGTTCATGCTTGGCTGACTGTGGCTGACTCACGTCGGATGTACAATCCAACGGCTGTTCTTCCATGTGGCATGTCATATCTGTACTTCTGCTTCTCTCGCTGAACGCTGTCTGTACATCTGGGCCATCTGGGACACTGCAGTCAGCTTCCGTACAACTTTGCCAATGACAAGAATCAGTGACAGTTGACGTTTGTACAGTAACCGGTTCTCTTGTCGAGATGTCTTCTGTTGAAGTACTTTGCCTCGTTGTAGACTGCTCCTTCACGATGTGTGTTAGCCTACCAAATGTGGAAGCATTTTCATCTGTACCACCATGTTCGCATTTGTCCTTTTCCACTTCATAGAAACCACGATCTTCAAAATCCTCTTCATTTTTTGTAAGAGACTCTTTAAATCTCTGCAATACAGAAATCAACTCTGTATAAAAAAAAAAGTTTAAATATATTTTATATATTTAGAACTTACTTTCTAAATATATTTTTTACTTTTTAGATATATTTTATATATTTAGAATCTACAGAAATTGCCTTGGAAAAAAATAACATCTTTATAAACAAACAATATCACTCTTTCTCATTCTGTACATTATCATTTTAACACTAGCATTTTCCTAAAGCACTCCGTATTTTTATAAAGATAATTTTGACTGTACAATAAACCTCATTTGAATCTGCGGTCAGTCCTTTTATTTGTAGAACTTCAGCAACTTTTAGAAAACTGGCGATATCCTCTTGCTTAATATTGACCTCTCCTTGATACATGAAATGCAGTATAGCTGACAAATCTCGGTAATTGACATCTTTCAGTATGACAATAGGATGTTTGCACGAGTTTCCCTGTGTACAACAATCGGACCAATAGAGTCTCAACAAAAGATAGTTACAGCGCTACTACTGTATTACTAAAATAATAAGGTACCTTAAAAAGCTCTCGAAAATATGTACTGCAGACTGACAATATTAGTTTATGGGCTCGTAGAATGTGACCTTCAACAGCCAATGTGACATCCACGAAATGTTCGTCTGTCAACAAAGTGTACAAGCCCGAAGACAGGTTTCTTGGAAAACTGGTCCATACCAAGGAGAATTGTTCGTCAGACATAGTTCCTAGACGAAAAACATTTCATATACACAATAAAAAAACAAGAGGACGTTAATTAGAATTTAAAGGATTTGCAAATGCTGCATTAGGCCGCTTTTACAACTAAGTCTAAGATGTACTGTTATTACGATTGCTAATAAAGAAACTGTATGCGGGTTACTTTTGTATTGATTAAATAAAAGTAAACGTATATTTTTGTAATCAGTGTATTGATATATCGCCGGGTGTAACAAAAGCACATTTCTTTACCTCTGGCAATTCTGTGTTTATAAACAGGAGAAGATAATGAAAACCCCTCCAACGAAATCGACAAAGCTGATAAGGTTTTTCAACACTCTACAACACCACTAATCGTTCACAAATACAGAGTTAAACTTCAACGAGATGTTCGAAGCTTCGAAATCTGATTGATCATTTAAGCAACGTTCTCGCTTTCCTCAAGATTTCGTACTAACTATGAATTGTAAATGCAAAACTAATCAAGACAGTTATTCCGCGCGCGAAATACTCGAGTTCACTTGCGTTGATGTGCGTAAATTACAAAAGCAGTGCGCCATAAATCATGCGATCTTCATTGCGCTCCGAGATGGCGACGCTGAGCGACGCGTGCAATCTCGCGCAATGGCGCCGAAACCAACAATAAACTTGATGTAAAGGTACCATTGCATAGGAGTGTCAAGCATCGAGCATTGTGAGCTTATTATTCGCTAAAAACAAGTCATATGATCAAAATTGTTGAATAGCAAGTCCATGACGCTCGACACGTATGTAAGGGTACTTTATGAAGTAAAGATTAAATGATTATATATATATATATACACACACGAGGGTTGCTATTTTTATATATCCGGAATTGGCAACACTGGTGTTACTAGGGCGCCACCTGACATATCCATCGTAAAGTTTAACATTTTTGACGGTATATGTACTCAGAATGTTTTGTACTATTTTTGTAATACGGACGCTATTTGTGTTGTTTACAGTGACTTGAAAATTTCATTTCAGTAAAAACATGTAATTAACTCGTGAAAATTTTCGTGCGATGATTTCCTACGACTTTCCACGTAGATTATCTCAAAAACAGTACATTGATCCAAGGCCGGTTTTAGACAAGCGGGGCGTCATGAAACGGGGGCGCCAAAAATATTTGAATCTTTAAAATAATTATTTTAAAATAGTTTTAGAAAAATAAGTTTTGCAAGCGTTGAGTCAATATCAATTTCTTCGGTAATCTTCCTGATGGTTGTCTTTTTCCCTATGATGTAAGTTCCCTTGCTTATATATCTTTATTTGTTGGTTTTCTTGTTATGTGATCGTACCATTCCTTTCTTTTCCTTTTGCAGAACTTGACAATGTCAGTAATGCCACTTTGTTCTCTCACTGTCTCATTTCTTATTCTATCCATCCTTGTTTTCTCAATTATTGTTGTTAGTGCAGTCATTTCTGTTGTGCGTAGTAGTTGCTTTGTCTTACTCGTGTCTTCTTGTTTTTCTATTAGCTTCACTATAGTTTATAGATCTTGATTTTGCTAAAATATAATTAAATAATATATAATTAATTTGAATATTTATGCTATTATATAATTCAAAAGTTCCATTTGGGGCGGGTATCAATGCAATTTTTTACAAGCACCTCGTAAATGCTCAGAAAATAATAAGACAATTAGTTTTTATTATTACGATAATCTTTCTATTAATAATTCTTATTTAATATATAATTCTCTTTTATTTATATAGTTTCTCCCTATTTCCTAATACCTCTTTATACGGAATTATAATTATTCATTCTGCCTTCAGTTGTTAAATACAGAAGTGTCCCGCATGATCTCATGGTCTCTTGATTTCGTAAAATCTCTGTTTTCTTGAATCTTCTTTAATTTGAAATACAATAAAGTAATCTCAGAAATAAATCTGTGAAATCCTGATTCATTTCAGAAATCATAATTCAATGTAGGATCAGGTTATTAACGAGACGCTTTTGTGGCTGTTGATGAGACGGAAGCATTTCCAGAGACCATAGCGCACCTCCCAGTCGACGAAGAGTAGTTCCGGCTTGTTCCAAAGAACGTGGTGTAATGCAAAGTTGTATTGGGATTGAATGGGAGGATTCAGATGCGGCGCCCATTGCGCCCTTTCCATCACAATTCTGTTTACGTAGCTATAGAAAGCTTTAGCCTTGTGAATCCAGCAGATGAGAGACATAATAGAGATAATCGTAGCATGTATGTGGCAAGCTACTTCCATGCGATAGTTCTGCTGTTGCAGGATGATCTCCTGTAGATTCATTGCGAGACAGACCAGAGCAGCAGCTGTGAAGCCACAGGGTACTTCAACAGCGATCAGGCATACCGTGCAATACGTCACCTCAAGATTCATCCGTGAGTCCGAGTGGCTTATTAGGCTCTTTAGCAGGCTATCGTGTAGCAATTCGCGGTGCAACTTAAAGAACAACCGATCTTCTTTGTGACACTGTATGACGTGCAGATCAAGACGCGTGTGCTCGAAAAAGATCTTGGGAGTGTCGAAGATCGCTCGATTGTCTTGGCGATCCATCAAGTACTGCAGCACTCGATTGCCTAGTAGGCTGATGAGCCGACTGGACGAGCCCACCATTCGCATCAGCAGCGGAAAGATTGTCGGTGTGAGAGTCTGCTCGTAGAGACCCGCCTGGTGCATATAAGCAGCGAATTCCAGTGTACTGGCAAATTCCAGAACGAATTCGTCAGTTGTACCTGCGGCCACTGTCCATGAGCACATGTGCTGCACGACCACTAGCATCTGATTATTTGGCAGATGTTTCATAGTATTTCTTAGACAAACTTCTAAACCCTTCTTGAGGCTTGCAAGCGCCGATGGCGATGACGGTGGTGAGGATGTTAAAGAAGAGGAGATCGTCGTTAATCGTGCGATTATACTGGCATGGAAGAGTCCAAGCATTCTTTCTACTGTCGCTACTGTATCTTGCGTTGCCGGCCACACGTACACGTCCAGAAGCTCGTACAATATCCTAATAATACCACGAGCATCTTCAATGCCAATTTCTGGCAATGTCAATTTATTCCAAATTGCATGGATAATCAGTCCAGCAATGACAGGACTGATGTCTAGCAGACTGTACATTACTTCAAAGCAGAAGGTCTCGAATTTCCAGAGTCGCTCATGATAGATGGCTTCAACGATCGTCTCCACGACCTCCCGCGATCTTTCCGGTAGGTAGCTTTTCAGTAAAGCGTGATAGCATTCTCGGGTGATTTTAAACTTACGTCGACGCTTCCAGTCGCAAAACCCATCCGTATGCAACACGTTCTCGTAGTACAGCAAGATTCTTAATAGACACGTGATAAGCATGCGAGGATGGCGAGATTGTAATTGTTTTCTTGTTGCGTTTCTGATAATCATCGCTATCTTATCCAAGGTCTTATCCTGGATCTTATCCTGCAGTGTCGAGGAGTACAAAACATTGGTCGAAAAACTCTTAGAGATATCATCCATTCTCCGTGTAAGTTCTTCATCGGTGATCATTATTAAAATTAATAAAAAGATGTTAAATTTTAAAAGAAATGTGACGGAAGCTGGAGCTCGTAGAAGATGAAATATTAGGTATTAAAAATGGTAATATATAAAATAGAAAGCAATAATATAATATACAATACATAAAACACTGTAATTTTTAAAAACATGAAATAAAACTAAAATGGATTTTGTATGGGTTAGAATTCAACTTTCAATTTTTTGGAGGATCATGATAGAAACATGAAATTGCAGTTTATTTCATCATATTTGAAAGATTGGTCGCGTTCAGCAGACTCAACTGTTGCGGAGCGGATTTGTGAGCGCTCACGGATCCGCTCCGTAACGATTGAGTCTGCTAAACGCAACCATTCATGTAATTCATTGTTCAATATAATTATCAACCCACAATTTTACGTTTGTAACATAAAACAAATTACAACGGAAAAAGTCACTATTTTTAGTTATCATTACTTTTTTTTTCTTCTTACCAATGAATTAATAAGATGTGATTAAAAATTTATATGAATAATGATATATTGTTTATAATAAATGCTATTTACATAAGTACAGTGTAGCAGATACATCCGTAGGTAGAAAAAAACAACACTTTATTCTATATTTACAAGTTCCTATACATATATGCATGTAATACGAAAAATAAATCTTAGATTTTTCAATCTTACAAGATGGATTTAAAAATTTGCGAATCTAATTGCAACCCCTTATTAAATACACTAAATATACATTCTCGCGCATTATTTTAACAAAAATAACAAAACTTTCGCATTTAGAACCACAAATCACCACCCACGTCCTCGTCCGGTTGTGGCAGTTGTTGCTGCGACTGCTGATCCTGCTGTGCTTCCTGTTTGGATGTGACATTCTCAGCGTCATCATCGCTTTCGGAAACAGCCAGATCGTCCTGGATCTTATTCTCTCCTTTATCATCTCTGGCTGGTAAACCGGCCAACAAGAAGTCTGATGGATCGTAATTTGGATCAACATCCATGCTCTCATCTATGAATGGAAAGTTGGAGTTTATGGAAAAAATCAACGAAAAGTTAATACAATTATATCAACTAAATAATGTATAATTAAAAATGATTCAATAACAAGTCGTTTTATCTTTGAAGAGTTGCTTCATATTTTCTCTTTATATATATAACCATTTATTTTATACATAAAAATATTAATAAATTTCTCTTTCTAACTTATTTATATTTTATAAAATTTCTAATCTCTTCAAAAGGGTAAACCATTAAACAAAGCAAATCAGTCGCTTAAAATGTTGTCTTCTTACCTTGTTGAAGCAGCTGCTGTTCACCCACATAAAAACCAACATTGCCTAACTGAACCATTGCTTCTGCGGCTTGTTGACTGTCATCGTCCGCTAATACGACACTTTCCCTGACTTCGCTTAACTCCAATGTCTCCGCTTCATTTTGCTCGGAATGTTCGTCCGTGCCGAATGGCACCTCATCAAATTCGTCTTCGCTAGAGAATTGAAGATCTGTGACAAAAAGAAAGACTATTAAATAAGCTGTAATAAATATAAAATAAAATTAGAATTACACTGTTCTACCTTCTTCGAGCACATCCTTCTTTTTCGAGTTCCTATCCATGTCTATTTCCATGTCTCCTTCTACATCGACAAAATCGAAGTCATCTATATTTGATTTACTAAATGGATTCTCCGGAGAACTATTCTGGCTCTAAAAATAAATTTCAATGTTGAATAAAATGTAGCAACGAAATAATAAAATATGAGTTATAAATAAGAAAAAAGTAGTTAAATATTAAATGTAAAAATAAGCATAATACTTACACTTCTAAATTCAGGTTCCGTGATAGTATAATTTTCTTCATCTGGGCAAAGCCATGAGGAATCAATGTCTGCCTGCTCCATCGCTCGTTTTTGCACGAGCAATATACTGTTCTCTAATTGTGTCAGATGTTCACCGTACTAAAACAAAATTCATCATTGTTAGCAACTTTATTTATATTTAACTTAAGCACCTTCAACAATTTTTGCATCTAATTAATATCGGAATAATCATACCTCATCTAATGTATCTTTACACACTTTAACCAGCAACTCTGCTTTACTTGTAAGCGGAGACTCTTTACCATTATAAATCGAGCAATTTTCTAAAATCTGTTCGATATCTCTAACAAACTCGTGACGATTATGATATTTGTGCGCTAAAAAAATTTAAAAAAAAATTAAGAAAATAAAGTACAAACATATAAATCTACAGTTTTATGTAACCATTTTTTGTTATATATATA